GTAAAGAAAAATATAAACAAATAATCTAATTAGAAAATGAGATACTAAGAGAAATTTCACCAAAGAGGGATACACAGCAAATTGTTGTGTTGTTAGGTGCCATCAAGTCGATTCCAACTCATAGCAACCTGAGGCACAACAGAACGAATCACTGCCTGGTCCTGCACCAATCTCACAATCATGGTTACACTTGGGGCCATTGCTGCTCCCACTGTGCTGGGGTCTTCCTCTTCTTTAATGACCCTCCACTTTACCAAGGATGATGTCCTTCTCCAGGGACTGGTCCCTCCTGATAAAATATGTCCAAACTATGAGAGATGAAGTCTCGCCATCGTAGCTTTAAAGGAGCATTCTAGTTGTGCTTCTTCCAACACAGATTTGTTTATTCTTCTGAAAGCCTATAGTACTTTTAATAATTTAATATTCTCCTCTAACACCATAACTCAAATGCATCAATTCTTCTACAGTCTTCTTTACTTAGTGTGTAACTTTCACATGCATATGAGGCTATTGAAAATACCATAGCTTGGGTCAGGCACACCTTAGTCCTCAAACTGACACCTGTGCTCTTGAAAACTTTAAAGAGATCTTGTGCAGCTGATTTGCCTAATGCAATATATCGTTTGATTTCTTGACTGCTGCTTCCATGAGTATTGATGGTTGATCCAAGCAAAATGAAGTCTTCAACAACTTCAGTTTTTTCTACATTTATCTTGATGTTATTTATTGGTCCAGTGCTAAGGATTTTTGTTTTCTTTACATTGAGGGGCAACCCATACCGAAGGTTGTGGTCTTTGATCTTCATCAGTAAGTACAGACAGCAAATAGGCACGTGGAAATATGTTCGGCATCATAAACCATTAGGGAAATGCATATTAAAACCACGATGTTGTTGTTGTTAAGTGCCGACGAGTCAGTTCCGACCCATAGCGGCCCTGTATAGGGTTTCCGAGGAACTGCTGGTGAGCTTGAATCACCGACCTTGCAGTTCAAACGGCTTTGCAGTCTGGCGCATTAACCCACAGCGTCACACCAGGACTCTAAGACCACGATAGGTATCATATATTGAATTGTGTCCCTCCAAAATAATGTATCAGCTTGGCTGGGTCATGATTCGGAGTAATTTGGCAGCTATGTAATGATGTAATGTGGCAGTTAAGTGATGATTCCTCATGATGTGATCTGGTGTGATAAACCAATTAAAAGATTACAGGTGGGCTTAACCCTTGGAAGTACTGGTGTGGTGCTGTAGTGTATGTAATGGACTGCTAACTGCAAGGTCGGCAGTTCGAATCCAGCCGCCACTCCTCCGAGACCCTATAGGGTTGCTAAGAGTAGGAACAGACTTGGCTCTAACAACAGCAGCAGCTATACTCTTCATTCCATCACAGCCTTGATCCCATGTAAGGAAATTTGTCAAGTGTGTGGGCTGCGACATCTTTCATCTTACAAACACAAAAGAAAAGTGAAGTGGGAAGAGAAAGCAGGACCTGCTACCATCAAAGAAGAGATGCTGAAAATGGAGTGCACCCTTTGGGCCTGATGTCTCTGCCCTGTGATGCTCCTGGGGAGGATGATGCCAAGACACATAGAGATCTCCAGTGAATGCTGGACCTCTAGGTGCTGAAAGGAGACAGGACCTTCTCCAGAGACAAGAGAGAGAGAAGGCCCTCCCGTAGAGCTGGCACTCTGAATGTGGACGTGCCTTCTATACAGTGAGAGAATCCACTTCTGTTGTTAAAAGCATCTACTTGTGGTATTTGTTAGGATGTTGTTGTTAAGTGCTGTCAAGTTGGTTCCAATTCATAGCAACACTGTATAGGGTTTCCAAGAGGTGGCTGGTTGGTTTGAACTGCCAGCCTTATGGTTAGAAGTCCAGTGCTTATCTTATCCAGTGTATCCACACCAGGACTCTGTTTTAGCATCACTAAATAACCAAGATAATAGGATACACTACACACTTATGAGAACGACAAATACAAAAAGGATTGGTAATACAAAAAGTTGGTGAGGATACAGAGAAACCGGTCTACTCATAATACACTGCTGATGGGAATGCAAAACATTACAGCCACTCTGGAAAGCACTCTAGGCATTCTGTGAAGATATTTAAGGCTTAGCATATGAAATGCAGGTACCATGCAACCCAGCAACTGCTCTCCTGGGTATTTTTCCCAGAGAAATGAAAACTTATGTTCACATGAAAATCTGTAACACTATGTTTGTAATAGTTTTATTTATAATAGACAAAAACTGGAAACAATCCAGATGCCCTTCAGTAGATGAATGGCTAAACAAGCTGTGGCACATTCAAACCACAGAAGTCTACTCAGCAATAAAAAGGGACTAGTGATGCATTCAATAACCCGGAGACTCTCCAGAGAATTATGCTGAGTGAAAGCTAATGTAGATTTGCCTAATGCAATATATAAATGAGTCCTGGTATGGGTTAATGCACCAGATTGCAAAGCCATTTGAACTGCAAGGTTGGCAGTTCAAGCTCACCAGCTGCTCCTCAGAAACCCTATACAGGGTCGCTATGGGTCAGCACCGACTCAACGGGACTTCACAACAACAACAATGCAACATATAGTTTGATTTCTTGACTGCTGCTTCCATGGGTATTGATGGTTGATCCGAGAGCAAAATGAATCAAAAGGGTACGTCTACATCATGCAATATACAGAACATTCTTGAAATGACAAAATTACAGAAATGGAAATCATACTAGTGGACTGCCGGGGTTTAGACACAGGCAGGCTTGGAAAGGGAAGTGGGAGTGGCTTTAAAAGGGCCACAGGGGGAATCTCTGTGGTGAGGAAAGTGTTCTGCATCTTGACTATACGCAGGTTGTGATGTTTTTTTCAGTTTTTATTTCTTCTTGCATCTCCTCCAGGAAAAAAAACATTGGCACTGTAGGTTTAACACTGAACTTGGTTACTAGCTGCAAGGTCGGGAGTTCAAACCTACCAGCCACTCCGTGGAAACCCTATACAGAGTCTCCATGAGTTGGAATTGACTCAACAGCGTCAACAACAACAACAACAACAGCAGTGAGTGACTATGACATTCTGTGGAGCATTTTAATCTCTGGTCACAGCCTTAAGAACTCTTGGTTTCATAGCTCCAGAAACCCTCCTCGGAATGACCTGTGTGATATTATTTTGTAGCTTTGTAAGATGTTAAGTGCTGTCGAGTTGGTTCTGACCCATAGTGACCCTGTATAGGGTTTCCGAGGAGCAGCTGGTGAGCTTGAATCACAGACCTTGCAGTTCAAAAGGCTTTGCAGTCTGGTGCATATTAACCCACAGCACCATTGGGTAGGGTAAGCACTGACTGTTAACTGCAAGGCTGGCAGTTCAAACCCACCAGCAGCTCCTTGGAACCCCTATACAGGGTCACTATGAATTGGAATCAACTCGACAGCACTTAACAAGTCAGAACCAACTCAATGGCACTTAACAACAACAGGGGTAAACTGGGTAAAAGCGGTACATAGGATTTCTCTCTGTATTATTTCTGACAGCTGCATGTGACTCTATAATTATCTCAAAACGAAGAGTTTAATTCTAAAACCAAGTGCTAGTACACATTCTAAGGATATGAACTGTTCTTCATTGGTGGCAAGAAGGTGGGGTGATGATACCTCATGTGGAAAGGAGTGCTGAGTGAGGCACTGAAGCAGAGGAGGAAACAGATGGAGGAGGAGCTGGCTTGGGAGCCACCTTATCCAGCGCCTTCCTCCACTACACAGAGAAAGAAACAAAAAGACCAGTCAAGCAAAGATACACAAATCTCCTATGGCCCCTCTCATTATGGCTTGGCCCCAAAAGATAAGCAAGGTCCCATTATTTCTGTGGATATCAAACTGGCCAGTACCTAACGACACTTGTGAAAGGAAGTCAAAGCACATGGGACCTCCAAACACTAACCCTATGCTACAGAACCAGGAATCAGACATTACACTTTTAGACTTCAAGCATGTTATCTAGCATCAAGGACATGAGAAAAATAAATAAACAAAAGTAGAGATAAAGCCCCCAAATGTTACATACCAAAAGCTTGGGCAGGCATTCCTCAGTGAGAAGTGAAGCATATATTGGCAACACAGGTGGGATTAGAGTCAAGATGCTTTTACTTGAAAAGGTTCCAAAAAAATCAGAAGAATTCACCTCTTGTCTATTCTGGCACCCTTACCCCTTAAGAATTTACCAAGCTGATGACCCAGCAATTTCACTCCTGGAGAAATGATAACACAGGTCCACGCAAACATAGGCCCATACAAAATATACACAAATGTCTATAGCAGGATTATTCAAACAGCCAAAAAGCTGAAACACCAAATGTTCATTCTACCACTGAGGTAATTCCAAATCAGAGAGAGTTTATAGGACAGAGTAGAGCTGCCCCAGAGAGGTTTCCACAGGCTGTAAACCTTTACAGAAGCAAGCTGCCACAACGTTCACCCGTATAGATCCATACAATGTAATATTATTCAGGAATAAAACAAAAATTAAGTACTGATTCATGCTATAACATGTATGACCCTTGAAAACAATATGCTAACTTAAAGAGGTTAAATTCAAAAGGCTACATATGATTCCACTTTTATCAAATGTCCAGAATAGGCAAATCCACAGACAGAAAGTCAACTGATGGCTGCCTAGGGCTGTAGGGACTTGGGGAAGGGAGTGACTGCCATTACACCCCTGTGTGGGGTTTCCAACAAGTGGCTGGTCGGTGTGGACCGTGACCTTGTGGTTAGCAGTCCAGTGCTTAGACCACAGCATCACATCGGGACTCCACTAACAGGTGTAGGGTTTCTTTCTGAGGTGATAAAAATGTTCTAAAATTGATTATAGTGATGGTTGTATAAGTCTTATGTATACTAGAAACCATAGAGTTAGGTGTTTCAAATGAATGAATTATATGCTATGTGAATTGAATCTCAATAAAGACGCCACTTTTAAGAAAAGGAGAAAGACAAATAAAGAACCTACCTGGCTGAAAAATTTTGTAGTAGGGACTATAGGCCACATTTAATCCACCAAGCTTCACTGTGATTTCGTACCGCCCAGCCCTGCGCACTGTGAAGGCCACCTTCACCACGTTGGAAGTGGGTTCCTGAAGGACTTCCTGGGTCACTGGAATTTCCACTGCAAGCTCAACATGGGAGATGTGAACTCTCAGTCCCACAGGCCGATGTGCAGGGAAAGGCTGCCCATTCTTATAGAATAACTGCAGGAGAGAAGAAAGGCACTCACTAACGAGCAGAGGGAGGACTCACTCCCCATGGGACTAGAGTGGAAGGAAGGAGCCAGCTCTTAGAAGTTACACTGGCAAATGCTAGTACCCACCTACTCCTACTGTCCTGCTCACAGAAACACAGGGAAGAAGAAATTCACTCACCATCTCAAAGAAAACAATTAAATCACTCAGAGGACAGGGGCAAAATAAACTACTGAATCAAGAAAACATCAGTTTAAACTTGACATTTCTTACAAATGCTGCCCTGTCTTAGCAGTCCTTTCTATTTACTATCAATTATGATACAAACTCAAAAAGCAAGAAAGGCAGCCAGTCCCACTGGGTGAGTGAACTACAGCCCCAGGCAAGGGTAGCTGTGAGTTTGACTCTCAGGGTCACACATAATGCTGCAGTGGGGAAATCACTGTAGGAATCAGCAAGCTTTTGCTGTAAAGTGCCAACAGTAAATATTTTCAATATTGTGGGCTATATCCAACAGCCCAGCTGTCGTAACTATCCAAGTGTGAAAGCAGCCGTAGTCAATAAATAAAGAATGGTGTGGCTGTGTTCCAATATTACTTTACTTATAGAAACAGGCAGTGAGCCTGATTTAGCCCTGGGGTCGTAGTTTGCTAACTTTTACTCTTTTCAGTAATATTTTTCTAATTTTGAAAAGATAACATTAAACTTTACACTTCTTCAAAGCTAAGCATGTATTAAACTAAACTGATGCAGAGATTTCTTAACTCTTTAGATAGTAACTAATTTCCAAGTTCTTGGGAGGGGTTGAGACCAGGAAAAACATTAACATTTCAGGGCAACACCAATAACAGACTGAACCAAGTTCTGGAAAGCAAGTGACACAGAAACCCCAATGGGTATGAAAACAGAAACATTCCCTTACATGCACTCGGAAGGCCATGCTGTGGCCCACCTCATAGGGGTCCTTCCAATCCCAAGAGACTTTGCAAGACCGGGGATCCAAGTAATTTCCCCGCACGTAGTCATAAATGGTCCGGTCCCCTCGGCGCTCACGGTCCTCATTCTGGAGGAAGCTGACTACACGTGCGGCAAGCTCAAAGAGGAACTTAATTGTGAAGAAGAATGCAACCACAGACACTGTGATTCCACCTACAGAAAAGAGAGAACACACACCATCTGTCAGGTACACTTTACAGCTTCTCATGACGAACAGGCTAGCCATCTCAAAATTAAAAGGATAAGGAGGAGACTGCAAGATGTCAAATACCCTATCTGTGTCACTAACACTATCTGTGACTGTGAAAAGAGGAACTGCTACACCAGGGGTCAGAACTACTGTTTCTGCAAATAGTTTTACTGGAACATGGTCACTCCCATTCATTTAAATATATCTATAGTGACTTGCTCTCCCAAAGATTTACAGCCTCAGAAACCCTGCGCAGGGTCACTGTGAGTCAGAACTGACTCCACAGTACTTAACAACAACAACAACCTATGACTTGTAGAGTCCTGGTGTGGTGCTGTGGGTTAATGTGCCAGACTGCAAAGCCATGTGAACTGCAAAGTCAGCAGTTCAAGCTCACCAGCTGCTCCTCAGAAACCCTATACAGGGTCGCTATAGGTCGGAATCAACTCTACAGCATTTAACAACAACACAGTGACTTGTACAGTCCTGGTGTAGCCTGTAGGATAAACACTGGACCACAAGATCAGTTTGAACCACGAGGTAGGCAATTCAAACTCACCAGCTGCTCTTTAGAAACCTTATGTAGGGTCACTATGAGTCAGAACCAACTTTACAGCACTTAACAACTGCAACATCTGGCCCTGTACAAGTAAAGTTTACCAACCTTTGTTCTAAATCAGGAAATCAGGGACCACATATAATGCTTTCCTTCCACCTCCGCATGTGCTGGGCCTTCACAGAGCAGCACAAAGAATGTGCATTCTGTTCCCACCACTTGCAAGCCTCCCCCTCCCTTGTCCACTTGGTAAACTCACCTCATCTTTCAAGTCTCACTTCAGGCAACAAATCCTCCCCAATGCCCTCTCCAGTCCTCCATCATAGTTAGGCGTTTCCTCTGCTGGGCTCCCTCAAACTCCTGTACATTCATCTATTATAGATTTTCTCTTTTGATTTGACCGACTCCCCTTCATTTTATGAACTGCTTGAAGACAGATTTTTGCCTTTGACTCTACAGTAAACAGTGTCTGGCACTGACTACAATTACTCAATAAATACTTCCCAAATGAATGAGTTCTACTGCCAACTCTGTAATGGTATATTCTGGCATGAATGGAAATATTTCTAGGTCCATTTTCAAGGAGAAAGGGGTATACAGGAAGGCACAAAGGATCTAAGCAATCTTAACAAGACGATAATATAGAAGGCTCTTTCCACAACTTACCAATAACGTAAAACATCAGGTCTTTTCAATGCCAACAGACAGCCGAGGATCACAGCTGCAGCTGCAAAAGGAAATTTGTTTAGTCTTTTCTCCAATTCTTCCTTACAGCCATTTCAGAGTGAGACAGTGGAGAGTATATGACTTAGGCCAACCAACTCCCTCTAGTCTAGTCATACTAGCCCTCTCCCCATCTTCTTTCTCTAGCCCGACAGGTGCCCTCAGACATATTTCAGAGAAACAGAGACTGCAAGATTTCCAGTCTACTGACCACACTAGGAATACCTGCTTTCTTGCTAATTGGAAAATGCAGTAACATGGCTTTCCTCTTTTCAGATCTGGGGCTCCCAAGACAGTTTCACTCACGCCTGCAAAGTGGTACTAATTAACACAAGCTGAGAGGCTAAGGAAGTCACTTTCCACATATATTTGTCTTCTGAATGTAATCCATTAAGTCCATAAATTGTGGGTTTTTAAAAAGTAAGTATTATCCTCCTGTTAGTATTATGTAGTTAAATTGCACTCTGGGTCATTCCAATAATAAGCAGTAGATAAGCAAAGTCATTTATGCTATTACCAATCAGACAAACTAACAGGCCCTGTGGAAGATGAGCTTGGCAGAGAGGCCAAGCAGAGGACAACAAGGAAGACACTATTTCTCATCCTAACTGATGCAGGACAGGGATTTGGGCAGACTTCCACTGTTAAACTGAACTTGTTTCCATGATGCTGTTGTTGTTGTTAAGTACCGTGGAGTCAGTTCTGTTTCCATGATAAAATGCTCCAAATTTTGAACTATCTTACTACTTGACCCATCCTAAGATGCCAAGGAAAAATGCAATGCACAGTGACAGTTCTATCACCCTTCTATTGAATTGTCACTGTTGAGCTTGGCAGACAGCTATATATGCTCTCCATTATGCACTGAATTTACGGTTTTCAAGTCCATACATACTAAGGCTATCAATGTCATCTCAAGCCAGCACTTTGATTACTGGTGTAGAGTCCTGGCGTATCATTATGGGATAAGCACTGGACTGCTTATCCAAAAGGTTGGTGGTTCAAACCCTACCAGCTGCTCCTCAGAAGCTGGGTCAATATGAGTTGGAACCAACTTGAAGGAACTTAACCCCAACAACAAGATGATTACTTAAAGATAAGACAACTGAAATCTTCTAGGCTCAGATTTGGAAGAAACTAGGACAGTTTTTTTTTTATTTGTTTGTTTTTAACTTTTTATTGTGAATTGAGTGGGAAGTTTAAAGACAAGATCATCAGCTTTACGTTCAATAAACTATACACTTTGTTTCATTTCAACTATTACAATCCCCTGCCTGCAACAACAGGTATCCCATTCCTCCCTGCGGTTTCTGGTGAGTGCATTCCACCCACCTTCCTATCCCTTCTCAACTTTGTCCTTAGGTATATGTTGCCTTTTTTATTTTGAATGATTGACTATCCATGGTAAGAAAACCTTGCTAGTGTTGTTGTCCTCCCTATAAACCTTCTCTACTGCTTGGCTGAAAAGGGGTATGCTTTTATAGCTGTATTACGATATAAAATGTGCTGGACTGCAAGGTCAGTTTGAACCACAAAGTAGGTGGTTCAAGTTCACCAGCCGCTCCTTGGAAACACTACGGGGTCACTATGAGTCAGAACTAACTTGAAAGTACTTAACAACAACAATACTAGAAAATGTTAAGAGAAAGAGATAGAAAATGGTCATTAGTTCCTCTGATAACAATATGGTCAATGGAACCCACAAAGAATAGATAGTTGAAGTTTCACAGAAAGCACAATTCAAATTGGTGTTTATAGCTCAACCACAAAAGCAGCTACTTAGAACAGTAACATAATCAACAAATATGTTTTTAGATGCTCCAAGAAGGGTCTACTATGAAGAGACAATATATAGACCCAAAAGCAGGGATCGCAACTATTGATGCCTCCATCTCAAACAAGCATTTTGTTTCCTGAAAAGCTGCTAGCATCTCTCAAAAAGCATAGTCTGTACCATACAGGAGGTGCAAGATGACTTGGTGCAACCAAAGCCAACAGTTGAACTGTCTTAGGTACTCCCTGGGAGTACTATCAAGAAAGAAGAGCCACAAGTGAAGCACGTCCTCTGAACCCTGAGATCCCTACACAGAACCTCTGTGATCCAGAAGATGGAGAGCTATGTGACACCAGAGATGGTGAGAACTGCAGAGAAGCGATGGCAACAGAGGCAGAAGAACCAAGAGCACAAGACAGAGTGGTGGGCTTCCTGAAGCATAGAGGAAGAAAGTTGAGTGCCATCAGGTCAGAGGCTCACTGGCAGAGTGGGTTGCCTTCAGGTACTTAATTGTTAAGAGCCAGCAAGTTGGCTCCGACTAGTGACCCTGTATAGGGTTTTCAAGGCTGTAAATCTCTGCATGAGCAGAAAGCCTAATCTGTCTCCTGTGGAGCAACTGATGAGCTTGAGCCACCCACCTTATGGTTAGCAGTCTTATGCTAGAGCCACAGTGCTTCATTAGACACTAACTGGGAGAGCTAAATTTGCCACCTCACAAAGCCAAAGCTGAGCACGTTTGGGCCAAGGCTTACTGGCTGAGCTACACTTACCCAAGCAGGACAGAGTCCAAGAGGCCATAGGGTTGAGAGAACAAGAGCAGTCCATGAGGTCGAGGGTCTGGGCGTGCCTATGAGTTGAGAGGAGGCTATCATGGCCGACGAACTGTACTCTGAGTATTCCTGATTATGAATTATAACCAGTTACTTCCCTAATAAATCCCAGAAAGTACAGGTCAGAGCCCTGGGATAAAAGACTCAAAAGAGGTGTAGCGTGCCTTTTTGGATTACTGCTATGAATGCGGAGAGCAACACAATTTACAGCAGTGTGGTCTTCTATTTTTGAGCTGGGCTGCAAGAAATTTGGTTGCTATGTTACACGCATGCTGTCCTTATTGTCTAAGAAAGAGGTTAGGATTCTAGCAGGACTTCAACCTGCAATGTTTCCTGTTGCAGTTAACACTTTGGTTCATTCACATTTTAAAACTGTCCATGCCAGTGCTGCATCATCGAGCCCATGATGGAACTGAACTGAACCTGTCTGAAACCCTGGTTATAAATTCTTCACACCAAAAGTTGTCCATTTACTTCAGTTTAACATGTATCCCTGCTAGGATCCTTTCCATGGGCTCTCATACATGATGTAGCATCCAGTTTTATGTTCCTATCTTCATTATCTTAAGCTTTTACTTTTCTCCAACAGTTTCTATAGCACCTTCCACTTGCTATTTTTCACATTTCTCCTTCATAAAATTATTTTGGAATTCTTCCAGAGTTTAATTCAAGCACAAGGAAACAGTATGCTTAGCCTCCAGCATACTACTTTATTCAAATCAATTACTGGGTGGTATGGTACAGTGAATTATGGACCTTTTACCAAAGTCTTTGTAATGCCCACCAAATGACTGGATGGGACCAGGCAGGCAATAGGGTGTATGGAGTCCTAAGGGGGTGGAGGGGTGGGGATTGGTTAGTTTTGCCATACACTAGATTAAAAAGGAGCCATCTCAGAAGCAGATGATTCCAAGACCAATACAAAACAGCCAAGAGCAGCGCACTAAATCAGTGTACAGAAAAGCAACAGCAGCAGTACGTAGACACAGAGGAGTGCGCTTCCTGGCTCCTGGACAGAGTAAAGCTGAGTCCATCTGGACGGGAGGCTAGCTTACAGAATTGGCCCTTTGGGCGTTTATCTGCAGTACTAAAGGAGCTTTGTAATACTTGCCCAAATAGGGTAGATGCCAAGGGCTGAGAGCCAAGAACAAGGGATGTGTGCCACAGTAGGGCAGAGAAGAGGTGCGCTGACCAGAGAGTTGTTGTACCCTATTCGTTTCCTTAATAACCCCATTGTGAGTATTGTCTCTGAGTTCTGTATGGCCACTGTAACAGATGACCAGGAGAGAAGCAGAGTGCCTTGAGAGGGATGGTTGGTGTCAGGAGTGGAAAGGAGGTTGGAGAGTGGAGGCATGTCTCTTGGTCTCCGACTAATGTGGAGTTTAATTCTCCTTCCCCCTTGGAAGGCCACAGGAGGTCCCATATGGTCCCCATGCCATTTTTGCAGGTGGGGATTTTGTTTTCCAGTGATTCTCCTTAGTGTCCTGGTCGGAATAACTAGTAATAATAAACTAATAACAATAGCTATTCCCTTAAGGTCTGATGATCTACTTGCACATGATCATAGTCAGTGAAAACTCAACGCCAAATAGTAGTTTAGTTTAACTAGTAAAGAACACCAGCCTTGGGCATTATGCTCTTTTATGAATGACTTACATGAGATCAAACTCACAACAGCCAAGACAAGATTAGAACATAAGGGGGCAGTGAGTTTATATCAGTGAGGGGGAGGAACAGCCCAGAAAAGGAGGATGATCAATGTCACTCAATTATACATTTGAAACTTGATCTGGTGTATGTTTTGTTGTACATATTTTCAACAATAACAAAAAATAAAACAAATTACTTAAGAAAAACAATAGTACCCACTGGAGTACATTTGTACTTAGAGACATATGAGGTCACCATGAGTCAGAAGCGACTCCGTGGCAAAAGGTTTGATCTTACTTGTCTCTCATGGTTTTATTGAGCCACTTATCATCAGCTAAGGAGCTCTGATAGCGTAGTGGTTACGAATCAGGCTGCTAACCTCAAGGTCGGCAGTTCAAAACTACCAGCGGTTCCACGGAAGAAAGATGAGGCAGTCTGCTCCCATAAAGATCTACAGCCTCAGAAACCCTGTGTAAGGTCACTATGAGTCGGATCCAGCTCCATGGTACTTAACAACAACAACATCAGCTAACACTACTCTAAATACCGTATATATATTTCACATAAGTAATTGTCACAAGTTGGTGAGAAAGGCAGTACTATTCCCATTTTACAGATTTTTTTAAAAAGAAAAAAGCTAGGCTTAGAAAAGTTAACTTGCTGAATTAGTGTGTGATACTGCTGAGACTGAGTCCAATGCTTCTAACCATATGGAACCCTAAGTCAGGAAAAAGAACACCATCATAAGAA